CTTAATTTTGGGTTGGAAAAGGGGGTGTCTTGTACATGGGGGCGTCTTATTGATGGAAAAATACGGTATACTCTGGTTTTTCTGAAGTGGGCAGTTTCAGTAGAGTCTGTCCCATACAACAAGGATGGGTAACTATTTTTAATGCAAGACATCTCACCCCTGTCTTCCTTTCCTGCCAATACAGGATCTCTGTTGTTGCCAGATGCTTGCATGAAAGAGAAGCCAACAACAACTGAAGTGTGTATGTGTGTATGTGTCGGGGGGGGGGAGTATGTCCCTAGCATTGCCAGTTTAATTGTTTTGCCATTTGCCACTTCTTGTTTTATGCTGTAGACCCTGCTACCTGCCTGAGGCAACAACCAGGAATGATTGAAAGAAACATACCTGAACTCTCCATGCTTGTGCCTTAATTAGGCTACTTCTGATCCATGGATGTTAAGAGAGAGTCATAAATCCAGGGGTGGTAGGAAATCCAAGTTCTGGTTTCAAGGTCTTATTTCTTTCCCAGTCCTTCCATAGCTATACCAAGGAGTGGATGAGGAAGATCTTGCAGTGGTGCTGTTTTATATGAATTCCCTATTCTTGCTGGTTTCATTCTGATTCTGCCTTTGCAAATATATCCCATGGAATGAGAGTATGCCATAAATTAGCTATGCTGGAGAATTTAGATATGCTATCTCTATCAACTGTTTCCATGAGCAGGGAAGAGGTAGAGCTAAGCCTAAGTGGAGGGCTCACTGGTTCTGCATAGTCTTAGTCTGGCTAAGCTACAGTATAGGAAAGCTCAGATCAGAAGCCATTGGTGTGGAGCAATAATGGGTTGCATGAAATTCCATACCATCATGATATGATGGTAACAGCATTACAGACTGCCTTGTAGTCTTTAGAATCTAGTATAATTTTGTGGAGATTCTTGGGTGAAGCATACAATAATCCTTGAGTCTGTTTCACTCTGAAAAAGAAGAAATGTGAGAATCTCTTATTTACGCAGAGGAGGAGATTTCCATGTGAGTTATCTAGGAGAGGCTTCATACTTCCTTTCTTTGATACTTCCTTTCTTTGCTCAGTGTATTTTCCAAGGATTGTCAGTGGTTTGAATTTCTGGCAGAGATCAGCAAATAAAAATCAGCAGAAGTTCTTCAATGGCACTTCTACAGTCTTATCTAGAAATGCTTGAGATTGTCTGTGTGCAAAGCATGTGCCCTTCTGTCTCTTTACAGCCTTTTCCCGAACCATTCAATATACAGGAAGCTATCCTATACTGCAGTGTTTCTCAACCTAGCATGGCTGGCTAGGAAATTCTGGGAGTTGAAGTCCACACATCCTCAAGGTTGAGAAACACTGCTATACTGTGTTAGACCATCAGTCCTCCCTGAATTTTACATATCCTGACTGGCACTAGCTTTCCAAGACTTCAAGCAACTCTTTCATTCCCTGCCTTACTGCCCAAAGATACCAATAAACAGACTGGAAACTTACCATTCAAAGTACATGCCCATTTCCTAATACTGGGCCCAAATGATCCTTGGAAATTCCCCACCAAATTTGTGAGGAGCAATAACTTCGTTCAAGAATTTCTCAAAGACAGAATTCCTCTTCAGCAGTAACAGCAGGGCTGCTGCCAAAAAAACCCAACGGGAGGACTCCCTCATGATATCTGCTGTTAGGATGAGAGTGTGGAAACCCAAAAAGGTCATAGGCTGCTTGAGAGGTGATTGTACAATGAAGAGAAGGCTATTTGCACATACACTCTGCCCTCATCTCTAAAGTACAGGATCAGCAAATGCCACCCCTGGAATTTTCTCCAGATGGGTGGTTCAATAGTCACCCCCCTAGGTGGAAAGAGCTTGCAGACACATTCAAACTAATGAAGCCTTATGGCTATTTTATTGTATAAACCCAGCCGTAACGATGCTGCACGCATTTTGCGTTCCTCTCTACTTTTTAATTTAAAGCAGCAGGGAGACTGGTTTTGTGTGCTAGAAACGGCTGACAGTGTCCAAAACCAATTCTTCATTTTCACCATTAAAGCATATGAGGCCTAACTAGCCTTTAGGTGAAGAAAGCGCCATACCAAAGAATCCGCAATGATAAGGTTCTCTGCTATTATGACATAAGAATGAATAACGGCATATGGAATGCAGGATGCTGCCATATCACCCACCTAATGCTGTGACTATTAGAACATCATTCTCATAACAGGTAATAACTCAAAATCTTCTTCAGTGAATTTCGGATTCAGTGTGAAATCCTGGAGATTTTCCTTAGGCTTGTTTTTGTTGAATATTCCATTCCAACTTGTGACCCCTGCAAGTGTGAATGCCCTCCTCTTGCTTAATCTTCTAAAGCTATAGAGCTGAAAATGCAACTCTCCCTGGTCTCATTGTTATAGAAGCTAGACCAATGGATTCCAAGGGATTCATTGTGTCTACTGGTTATTGTGTTATGTTCCTGACCGGTATCAGTTCTGTGGTAGGCCATATTGATGCCTGAAATATTTATAAGTTTCCTCACTTCCTTTTCAGAAGAAGTGATCTTAGAGCAAATAAATCTAAAATTTCTTTTTAGCATTGTTTATCCTCTCCATAACATTGCAAAGGGGTACCCAAGCAACAGGTTTTGGAATGTGATTCATGACATTTAAAGTGAGTTGAGCTTAGTTTATAGATAGTTGTTCTAAAGTATCTTTGGGCACCACAAATTATCTGTTTCTACTTCTATCTCCTGTCTGCATGTACACGCTTACCACTATTTGCAGTATGAGTTTATTACCAAAGATGGCCCAGGGAGCTGTGCACACATATTCCTTATTCTCACATGATATAGAGTTCAGTGAAAATGTTTTCTCCAGTAGAATTTAAAAAATAGCATCCAAATTGGTATCCAAAGGTAGCATGACATGGAAAGGATTGGCACATTGGCTCCCAGGACTAAGTCTTCTAGAGAGCACACGGTTACATGAAGTCTCTTTAGAAATGCTAGACAAAATGAACTCTAACCGCAAACCAGACATCTCTGGGTGGGAGGCTGAATTTATTTAGCCATTTCACTACTGAGGTGACCACCTCTAGTCTGCCATAGATATCCAACTGACATAAAACTTAGACTGACAGGTTATTAGTTCCAGTTGAAAGTATACTTTCTAATTAAGAAAATTCTTCAGTTTCTATTTTCTAATTAAATCAATGGTAATTTATCTGTCACACTTGAACATGGACTTCTTTGGGACTTCTTACTGATGAGCATAAAGGCAATAAAAAGAAGGGCTGCTCTTGGTGAGGAGAGTTAAGACCTCTCTAATGCCATATTTTATTTCTTGGAGATGTTTCCATTCTTAAACATTTCACATCTTGTTCTTCAAGCTCCTTGCCCAAGCAGCTGACTCCAGGCTCACCACAATCTATGTCTTCTAAGATGTTTCTACAACTCCAGGTCTGGGCTTAAAATCCAAATGGTATTTGGATACTAGTCCAAACCCATTAGGTGGTAGCAAAGAGATGCTGAACAATCTAACTCTGTGCTGCCATTTCACGGTCATCTGGATTTTTGCCATCCAGATCTGGTGACAAAGAGTGCAAGAGTGTAGGAGGTATAGGAGTCAGCATTTGTTAGACAAGGAAACACCACAGTGTTGCTGATTGTTTTGACTGCATTAATAATAGTATACCATACTGGGGACAGAGCAATGAACTATATCTGAAAAGATCTTGTCTTTACTCTGTACCATAGATTACAGTTGAAGTTGGTCTGAACCTTAAATTATTTTGGATGGAGTGTGGGTGCTTCTGCCTAAGCTTTGGGTTCTTTGAATCTGTCCAAAACATATACCCTTTAGTTATGGCATTATTCTTTTCCTAAGTCCTTCTTGTGACACAGATTCTTAATAAATCCTGACTCACTCGTTTATATCTGGTTATATTTTTCTACCATTTGAAAATCTTTCCTACTCTGTTGAGAATCTCACCTTTCTTTACCTCCTTATTGTAGTTTGGCTAGTGCTAAGTTCTCTGAGCAGGTACTAAGTTCCATGAAGTTCCCATGGCATGCTTTGAAGACACAGGATGCAGCAATCTGGTTGATGCAAACTAGTCTGGATATGCCCAGTGTCTGGGTGGAAGACCATTTGGGAACCTTTTTTTAGGGTTGATGAGCTCTTTGTACTGAAGGTAGGATATTAAAGAACAAATACATTTTTTTAAAAAGTCAAGTTAGCACATCATTCACTTAGCAAATGATACATTAGTCCCAAAGGTAATGGCACAGAGACATCTCTTTTACATTGTTCTCTTTATTTAGATCTTGCTACATCAGTGATGAAATGAATGAACTGGTGATATGAATGACCAAAAGGGTGACACAAAAAATAATCAAAAAGTTGATCAAAAGGATGAGCATAAATCTGATCAAAAGCCTGAGCACAAAGCTGACCATAAGAATGATCATAAGAGTGAGCAAAAAGTTGAACAGAAAGATGAACCAAAGAGTGAACAAAAGCCAGAGGAACATAAAGACCTTGATTTTGAGCAAATGAAAGCCAGAGCCCCAAAGCTTTTGGCTGATATGGTACAGATGATTATCACATGGCAGAAAATGGGCTTCCATGTGCCACGAGGTATCAAGAACATATTTGAGTTTACATGGGAAGAGCTCATAGAGACGTTGCCAAGGAAATCTTTCACTGGTTTATATTGTCCAGTTGTCAAACTCCTCCCCTATGACGAGGTTGAACTCTCCTCCCCAACTACATCAAGAATTCAAAAGGTGGGCATTATGCCCACAGGGAAGAGGTCTAATTATTTGACTTCATGTGAAAATCAGCCGATGCTCGTGAAATTCCAAAAGCGGTCCATCCATCTCCTGACGGAACTTCTGAAGTTAAAGATGAAGATAATGATTGATGCCGTTGCTGGTGAGACCACTTAGTTAAGTGTTGGTTTGTCTGCCAGAGCATTTTGAATTCTACCTGGAGAACCTGAACCTATTCAGGCAAAAGGTTCATCCGCTTTGGGCACAGTGAAGCTGCGTATGTGGGAAGGCGAAATGCAATGAGCATTCAAGTGCGTATAGTGCTGTTCTCTGCAGTTAGAGGGGAAAGAAGAGCTCTTCCTAATGACAGGGAGTGCTGCTAAAACATACTGAAACATGAATGATACTTGTGTGTGGCACGGGCAGAGTCTTTGGCCATTTGTAACATGTTCATTGATTGTCCATATAGAGGGCATTCCTGATGAAGGAACTAGTGCCAATAGAACTAGAATGTGGACTGGAAACATTTTTCATGAGCCCTGTGCAATATTTTTGGAGAAAGATCAAAAGAGTAAAAAATAATTCTAGGAGTGGGGAGATGAGTTAATAATGACAAGACCGTAGCAAATAGTAGCTACTACAGTATTGCATGAAGGTAAATGCAAGGCTAATTTGGCAGCTACATTCCCCCACTCTGGCACCAACTCAGAGTGATACAAGAAACATTAGCTTCACTCTGAATAGGTTTTGTAACTTCAGTAATCTTATTATAAAACCAAATCTGACTGTACCATATCTTGTAATTATCATGTCCACTATGGGATTCCTTGCAGAAATGTCTGCAAAATCTGATACAGCTTCATCAGAATGACAACATGAGTGTCATAATGCAAACTCTGCCCCTTACCTCTTGTGCACATGATGCCACAACACAGGTAGAAAAGGGGCAAAGGTTGTGTTAAAATGCTTGTTTTATCATTTGCAATCCCTTCTCCCCTCCCTTTGTTCCCTGCAGTTACCTATGATTCCTTGATTAAGTTAGGGAAAGTTAAAAAAAAAGAAAAGAAAAATCCCACGGAAACATAGATATAGGAGAGCCAGTTAGTTAAGGTGCTGGCCTAGAAACCGGGAGAGTATGACTTGTAGGCTTGCCTTAGGCATGGAAGCTAGCTGGGTGACTTTGGGCCAGGCACTTTCTCCCAGCCCAACCCACCTCACAGGGTTGTTGTGGGGAAAATAGGAGGCAGGAGTCTTAGGTACGTTTGCTGCCTTGAGTTTTATATATACTTATACATATAAATAAATAAAAGGTAGGATTAAAAAAAATCTGATAATAAAATAGAAATGGGGCAGATAAGAGGCTTAACAAAGAACATTTCAACCCACTTCTCTGAAAGCATATTCTCCACCCAGGAACATTCAAGTAAACATTTCACACAGTCCTAATTCTGGCTAACCATGTCAGAAAAGTTTAGCCTCCTTAACTGTGAATTAAATAATGATGGGAACAATCTTCTGCGTTTATTGTACTTAACACCTCCTTTCAGACAGCTGCAAAGGAATTGCTTTAAATGTGCCTGGCCAAAGTTGCACTGAAAGGCAACTCATTTATCCTGTGAAAGTTCTTTCATGTTCCTACCCTGTGCCTGTGCACAAACCCTCTTCCGGCCGCACTTGGAATCTCTGCCTTTGCTGGATTCCTCCCTGTAGAAGAGAGCTCTGCCAACGCTCACAGGAGTGTCTGTGGGAGAGGGTTAAAAAAGTCAGGATGAAGGCCACATGATGAAAGTCCTGCCCTGATAACCCTTCAATTGAAGGGGTGGATCTTCCATCATGAATTCATGGCTGGCATCTTTTTTATTCTCCCCCCCCCCCCCCCCCCCCCCC